ACTGATTTAATTCGAGTTAAACGTAATTTTTTACTTATCCCCAAGATTCCTGGATTCCTCAGTATGTTACAGACGGGTCTGAGGAATGAGGGGCGTTCTCAAAGAGCGAAGAATCTTGTCTTGAATGGAGGTGGTGAACGCGTCGCTCCATAAATGTTTGTTGTTATTTTGTGTTATTTAATACAGGTACTAATCTTTGCATTTCTTTACGTCGTATTTGTGTTTTGTATGCAGCATTTTATGTTTTTGTGCGTTTCAATCTTTGTTTTTGACTTGATTCAACCTTAATGCAGAAACACATATTTGATACCGTTATCCTTTTGTTTGTAATTGTTTACGTTTTTGGTGTAATGCTTGCACTCTCTTTAACAAAAGGTACGAGATCATTACTGTAAATGACAAATAAAGTAGGACCCAGTATGGATCCTTGTGGGACCCCTGACAAAATTGGCGTTGCTACGCCGCGCTGCCCATTAGGTAATTCAACTAGCTGCGATCTGCCCCGTAAGTAGGATTTAAACAATTTTAGAATAGTTCCTCGAATACTTACTAATCAACTTTTCATGGCAAACAGTGTCGAAAGCCGCAGAAAAATCAACAAAAACACCTACGGTTAAAAGCCGGCGATCGACAGCTGTTACAGCTAGCCAGACAACATTTTAAAAGAATTTTCTGATTGTCCCCTCGTGTATTAGGAGTTGAAACACATCCTCGCACATTATAACCTCCTGATACCTAATTGGAAAAGATTTCAAACGAAATTTGGCTTCGAAATATTTTTGTGGGTGATGGGAAAAGACCTCCTCGACTATTATGTTCTCCTGGTAGCCAGACAAAATTTTACAATAATTTTCTGATTGGAACTTCGTGTATTAGGAGCTGAAACACATCCTCGCACATTATAACCTCCTGATACCAAATTGGAAAATATTTAAAACGAAATTTGGCTTCGAAATATTTTTGTGTGTGATGGGAAAATACCTCCTCGACTATTATGTTCTCCTGGTAGCCAGACAAAATTTTACAATAATTTTCTGAATGGCACTTCGTGTATTAGGAGCTGAAACACCTTCTCGCACATTATAACATCTTGATACCAAATTGGAAAAGATTTAAAACGAAATTTGGCTTCGAAATACTTTTGTGGGTGATGGGAAAAGACCTCCTCGACTATTATGTTCTTCTGGTAGCCAGACAAAATTTTAAAAGAATTTTCTGATTGTCCCCTCGTGTATTAGGAGCTGAAACACTTCCTCGCACATTATAACCTCCTGATACCAAATTGGCGAGATTTAAAACGAAATTTGGCTTCGAAATATTTTTGTGGGTGATGGGAAAAGACCTCCTCGACTATTATGTTCTCCGGGTAACCAGACAAAATTTTAAAAGAATTTTCTGATTGTCCCCTCGTGTATTAGGAGCTTAAACGCCTCCTCGCTCATTATAACCTCCTGATACCAAATTGGACAATATTTCAAACGAAATTTGGCTTCGAAATATTTTTGTGGGTGATGGGAAAAGACCTCCTCGACTATTATGGTCTCCTGGTAGCCAGACAATTACAATAATTTTCTGAATGGCACTTCGTGTATTAGGAGCTGAAACACCTCCTCGCATATTATAACCTCCTGATACCAAATTGGAGAAGATTTAAAACGAAATTTGGCTTCGGAATATTTTTGTGGGTGATGGGAAAAGACCTCCTCGTCTATTATGTTCTCCTGGTAGCCAGACAAAGTTTTAAAAGAATTTTCTGATTGTCCCCTCATGTATTAGGAGCTTAAACGCCTCCTCGCTCATTATAACCTCCTGATACCAAACTGGAAAAGATTTAAAACGAAATTTGGCTTCGAAATACTTTTGCGGGTGATGGGAAAAGACCTCCTCGACTATTAAGTTCTTCGGGTAGCCAGACAAAATTTTACAATAATTTTCTGATTGGCACTTCGCGTATTAGGAGCTGAAACACCTCCTCGCACATTATAACCTCCTGATACCATATTGGAAAAGATTTAAAACGAAATTTGACTTCGAAATATTTTTGTGGGTGATGGGAAAAGACCTCCTCGACTATTATGTTCTCCTGGTAGCCAGACAAAATTTTAAAAGAATTTTTTGATTGTCCCCTCCTGTATTAGGAGCTGAAACACCTCCTCACTCATTATAACCCCCTGATACCAAATTGGAAAATATTTAAAACGAAATTTGGCTTCGAAATGTTTTTGTGGGTGATGGGAAAAGACCTCCTCGACTATTATGTTTCCTGGTAGCCAGACAAAATTTTACAATAATTTTCAGATTGGAACTTCGCGTATTAGGAGTTGAAACACCTTCTCGCACATTATAACCTCCTGATACCAAATTGGAAAAGATTTAAAACGAAATTTGGCTTCGAAATATTTTTGTGTGTGATGGGAAAAGACCTCCTCGACTATTATGTTCTCCTGGTAGCCAGACAAAATTTTAAAAGAATTTTCTGATCATCCCCTAGTGTATTAGGAGCTTAAACACCTCCTCGCACGTTATAACCTCCTGATACCAAATTGGAAAAATTTAAAACGAAATTTGGCTTCGAAATATTTTTGTGGGAGAAGGGAAAAGAACTCCTCGACTATTATGTTCTCCTGGTAGCCGGACAAAACTTTAAAAGAATTTTCTGATTGTCCCCTCGTTTATTAGGAGCTGAAACACCTCCTCGCACATTATAACCTCCTGATACCAAATTGGAAAACATTTAAAGCGAAATTTGGCTTCGAAATATTTTTGTGAGTGATGGGAAAAGACCTCCTCGACTATTATGTTCTCCTGGTAGCCAGACAAAATTTTAAAAGAATTTTCTGATTGTCCCCTCGTGTATTAGGAGCTGAAACACCTCCTCGCACATTATAACCTCCTGATACCAAATTGGAAAAGATTTAAGACGAAATTTGGCTTCGAAATATTTTTGTGGGTGATGGGAAAAGAACTCCTCGACTATTATGTTCACCTGGTAGCCAGACAACATTTTAAAAGAATTTTCTGATTGTCCCCTCGTGTATTAGGAGCTTAAACACCTCCCCGCACATTATAACCTCCTGATACCAAATTGTAAAGATTTTAAACGAAATTTGGCTTCGAAATATTTTTGTGGGTGATGGGAAAAGACGTCCTCGACTATTATGTTGTCCTGGTAGCCAGACAAAATTTTAAAAGAATTTTCCGATTGTCCCCTCGTGTATTAGGAGCTGAAACACCTCCTCGCACATTATAACCTCCTGATACCAAATTGGAAAAGATTTAAAACGAAATTTGGCTTCGAAATGTTTTTGTGGGTGATGGGAAAATACCTTCTCGACTATTATGTTCTCCTGGTACCCTGACAAAATTTTAAAAGAATTTTCTGATTATCTCCTCGTCTATTAGGAGCTGAAACACCTCCTCGCACATTATAACCTCCTGATACCAAATTGGGAAAGTTTTATAACGAAATTTGGGTTCGAAATATTTTTGTGGGTGATGGGAAAAGACGTCCTCGACTATTATGTTGTCCTGGTAGCCAGACAAAATTTTAAAAGAATTTTCTGATTGTCCCCTCGTGTATTAGGAACTGAAACACCTCCTCGCACATTATAACCTCCTGATACCAAATTGGAAAAGATTTAAAACGAAATTTGGCTTCGAAATATTTTTGTGGGTGATGGGAAAAGACCTCCTCGACTATTATGTTCTCCTGGTAGCAAGACAAAGTTTTAAAAGAATTTTCTGATTGTCCCCTCGTGTATTAGGAACTTATACACCTCCTCGCACATTATAACCTCTTGATACCAAATTGGAAAGGAATTGAAACGAAATTTGGGTTCGAAATATTTTTGTGGGTGATGGGAAAAGACCTCCCCGACTATTATGTTCTCCTGGTAGCAAGACAAAGTTTTAAAAGAATTTTCTGATTGTCCCCTCGTGTATTAGGAGCTGAAACACCTCCTCGCACATTATAATCTCCTGATACCAAACTGGAAAAATTTAAAACGAAATTTGGCTTAGAAATTTTTTTGTGAGTGATGGGAAAAGACCTCCTCATACCCCTCAGACCTTCCTGGTGCAAAGCTCTCCTTCCCAAAGTTTAGGAAAATGAGTATGCGTATGACTTGTGTAGGGAGTATTATCCATATTCCTTTTCTGGGGAGTATTCCATACACGAGAGTTATAGGGCTGAATGTTTTGGGGAGGAATGTAACACCGGGGGGTATTTTACACTCTCCAGACTGCCTGCTGCTACATTCTTCCACTAAAGGTTGAGAGATAATGTTATTGGTCTTTTTCTCAACGATCTTGGTGCATAAATAACGATTTTGATATGTTTTGATCAAAATCAAAATTTCAACACAATCGGCCACCTTTAAAAAGATTTAGAGCGTACACGGACGGACGGACGGACGATGATACAAAACTATAAAGGATCTTAGGATCCTTAATAATTATGCTACGAATGCCGAAAGTAATAAATATTTTGGGGAAGAATGTGGAACGAGTCGTGGGGGGGGGGGGGGGGGGGTGGAATACCCCCAGGTAAAAAAAGAAGATCAAGACTTTGGCAGCATTCTCGTGTTAAAATGCACTACCTCGATGTGCACTTTGCATCCTCATGCCGAGAAAGAATTATATGTGCCTAACTAATTGTTAGAATTAGACCGGAGTAGGTAATGAGTTTCAATTGTAATGGTAACTGATTTTTGTCTAATTGAAGAATTACCTAAACACGCGAAAAGGGAAGTGGAGTAGGTCAAAGTGTGTTTCAAGAGAACAATTAATTCTGCTAGAAATTTGAATGGAATGAAAACCCCTTTGAAATGCCGAAGACAAAACGGGGACAATGCCGGTATTTAGATCGCCGATGAAAATGCGGCTCTCGTGGGCGTAGGTGTTCACTTAAAATAACGGTCTTCGGCATTTCACGAGCTCGGTCAAGGTAGCGTCGAGACCTTGCAGCGCGACCTACATTATTCATAACGACAAAATTACATCACACAATTTTGTTACAGCAGAAGATGGAGCTGAAATACATCGTAATGACCATCATTAAGATTCTGATCTCGGTCCCGTGCATTTTAATGATGCAGGACGGAAGTGCGATGGCCGCTTCGCTGATAGGAGGTCATTTTAATAACAACGACAGCAACTTGGAGGTGAGTTTTGGGCAAAGCTTAAAGGTGTACTTATGGTGGTGTTTTTAGGCTACTAGCAGTAAGCCATTGCAGTTTGAGGACTATGCTTCAAATGAAGAAATTCCTGACCCCTCGGCGCTGATACTCCCCGGTTATAACCTCCCCGACAATATCTTCAACAAAGGCAAGCCCTTTTATTTGGAAAAGGACCCGGTGACGGGAAAGGTGGACTTTGAAAGTAAGACGAGTTTATCCGATGTGGAGGAGGGAGGGTTCGATTACGTCGACGAACTACCCTCGACGGATTTGTACGCCAAATCCAACATCAACCGAAAGGATGGTAGCATATCGAGTCACAAGCCGAGCGATGTAAATCAGCTGACTCCCAATTTTCATGACTTTTTAAATTTGCCAGTCAAGTACAATCCTGAAAAGTACGTCTATCCGCTCATCTCCAGTTCGTATGCCAATACTAAAATTCAGGGGAACATCAATAAGTATCACAATCACAAGAACGACATCGTCACCACGTACAAGCCGACGTATTACACTATCAAAACGCCGTATTTCAGTCATAACCAGTTGGATTTGGACAGGAAGTCGTCAGTTACGACACCGCAAAGTAGGCCTACTACTACTAGTACTACTACCCCCACCACTACTACGCCAATTGTGCACCTGACGACTGCAAAATACGCGCCTCCGAGTACTACGAAGCGCACCTGGAGCATATTTGAACAGTTGTTTGGTGAATATGACGAAATCACAACGGTAAGTGTAAGGAAAACGACGTCCCCCAGCGAGGATCTGCCAACGACTACGCCAAAGCACAACATTCTAACTGGCACCGAGATGGGGCACGAAGAGGCGTATGACTACGACGATTACCACGAGATTCAGAACACTACGGCTGTTTACAAAACGAAACCGATACAGTTCGAAATTCAGACAACTGCGAAACCCACGACGACTACGCCGGCGACGACGACGAAGAAATCCGAACCAACACCAGAGTATGACTACGAGTATTTGGAAACCACGGAAGGGACGACCACTACGACTACGCAAAAAACCATACTGGTAACTTCAATGCAGCTGGGCGAAAAACACTTCAGCACGGCGGACACGAGACAGCCGATAATTGCGGTCACCCAAAACCTGAAGGAACAACTGAACAAGGAAAAAATTCCTAAACCCTTCAGCTACAAGCCAGTCTCGAACACGAACAGCATTCGCATATTACCAAACCAGAACACGGTATCCTTCGTGGTGGGAAACCACCAGCATGTGGAAGGAGACTACGAACCACAGTTTCAAGGTAGCCCCTACGACAGTAATCCGTTTAGACCCTTAGTGGTCGAACCCCAAAACGACAAGGACACGGTGAGCTACATCGTGCAAACGAAACCGATGTTCAGTCAGACCTTCCCCGAGGTTCCGGAAGTGGGAGGCAGTTCGATTAATATCCAACCGATCAAAACGTCGGAAGCCTCTCTGTCCATCGGAGTTCCGGTAAACACCAACTTGAAAGTTCCCGGCCAGGTCGTCGACGAAAACTTGGGCAACGAAAAGATCGAGTTTCCCAAGACGGGAACGGGAGCAAAAATCGTGTTTCCGGACGAGACCGAGGCGTCGACGATAACGCCGAACCTAGTTCCGCCGCCCCCTCCTCCCACGCAGCCTCTCGGTCAGGACATTCTGCATCTAAGCTCGAAACCGATGTACCATCAGCTACCGAGCGATCTGACGCCACCGGACGAGCAGGACGAGCCTCCCCACGTCGAGAGGAGGCGACCGCCCTGGGATCCGCGCCCCGGTCACTTTCACAACGGCAAACCGGAGTACCTGCGGCCACCGAGACCGTCGCTCAAACCGCCCGGGGGCGAAATCTACAAGCGGATCGATAAGTTGCCGAACATTCTACCGCAGTTTCGGCCAAACGCAAAGCTCTCCGTCGGCCCCCACTACTACGACAACAAAAGTGGGTACTTAAGGCAGCCGTTGCTGGAGCGACCGTCGAATCGCCCCGTTTTGTTCTTCGAGAAACTCCTCCCGCCTCAGCCGGCGAAAAGCCTGCACAATCTCCGAAAGGTGCCCGTGCTGGAGGAGGAGTTGAGGAACCGAAACGGCGAAATTAAAAAGCAGGAGCAGTACAGTTTCTACCAAATGCAAACGCCTCCCTCGACGGTCGTCAGCAATAGACGTAGCGATACAATCGAAACCTTGCAAATGATTCAAGCGAAGCAGATCGAAATGAAAAAGTCCGGAGCTACCACCGAAAAACCACTCTACGTGGTCTACCCGGTGAACACCGCCCCGCTTAAGCTGGACGCGCTCGACTCCAACAAAAAGGAGAGCGTCGTCATCGGCACGCGAGCCGAGCTGCCACTTCCGCCTTCCAAAATCCAGCACGAATTCCAATACGAAAGCCCGCAAGATCGCAACGACGCCCCGATTCTCAAACCGCACCTCAAAACGAATCACCAACTGAAAACCAGCTTCCCCTACCCGCTGGAGCGACCCACGACCGTTATCGGAAACAACCTGGAGGAGACCGAGCCGGAATCGCGCATCAAAATCAACTACAAAAATCCGAACCAAATCTCCGTTACGCTTCGGACGTACACCGAGCGTCCGATCGCGATCGCGTACACCCCGACCGAACCGTACCGCAAACCGGACAACACCGAAAAGTACTCGATGCCGAACTACGCCGGCCCCGTCATCTCGGAGATACGGCCGGCGGTGAGGGACTCCGAAATAACGGTCGGCACGGTGATGCGCGCCGAAATCGGCCGCCGGCCCGAGAGGGAGCGCGTACCGGCCAAGCTCGACTTCGAGGCGCCCTTCCAGGCGAGCGCGAACGTCGACGGCCTGACGCAGGGCTGGACGATCATACGCAAGACGGACAAGTCGAAGATCGACAGGTCGGATGGCGGCGACGAGACGACGGCGCCGATACCGACGACGCGCGAGTTCGACATGGAGAACTTCAAGCCCGAACTGTTCGGCGGATTCAAGCCGATCTATCACTTCTCCGAGGGGGCGAAAGGGAACGGAAGTGAGGAGCGTGCGCGCTAAACTTTTAGTGCCTTTTTTCTTCGAAAAGACTGAACGAAATCGACGATTTCCTGTACATAAGATTTTAAACTGAAAAGTGACAGGGACGCTGTAGTAAAATGGTAGTGGTATAAATGGGGAGTGACTAAGCGTACAAGAGCGCTTCATTGCAATTGCGTTATTGTTAGGGTTTGTGTGCAACGTACCATGTGTAAATTATTGCTATTTATATGTTAATTAATTTATTAAAATATAATTGTTTAGGTAAACTAGGGATGCAATTTATTCTACTGAGCTATACGATGATATTTGCTTGATATTGATAAAGCTAGACCTACTACAACCCCTTTGTGAGTACTCCGTCTCGGCACACCTTTCCTAAGATATAAAAGATAAATACTTTCTGTATTATTGTAAATAGTGGACAATTTTCCTCAAAAAGCAAGGCCTATACACTTGCCTATTTTTTGGGTCGGAAAAATGAATTGTCTGAAATCGACCGGACTTATAGAATGTGGCCTGTAGAATCCATAATTTCAAACAGTTCCAAGTTTGGGCTAGTAGTTCAAAAGTTACAGCCCTTTGAATTTTTTTTTCGAAATTGGTTTCTAGTCTATAACCTTTGATTGAGAAGTCTAATCGAAAAAGTACGAATGGTTTTGGATTCTATGCACCAAAATTAATAAGAAAAAGTGTTTTTTTGGTGCAGTCGATTTTTGGTAAAAAAGGAAGGTTGTACACTGCCTTTTTTTGAGCCCCGAAAGAAAAATTGTCTCAGACCGATCGGGAAAATAATTTTTCTTATAGAATGTGGCCTGTAGAATCCATAATTTCAAACAGTTCCACGTTTGGGCTAGTAGTTCAAAAGTTACAGCCCTTTGAATTTTTTTTTCGAAATTGGTTTCTAGTCTATAACTTTTGATTGAGAAGTCTAATCGAAAAAGTACGAATTGTTTTGGATTCTACGCACCAAAATTAATAAGAAAAAGTGTTTTTTTGGTGCAGTCGATTTTTGGTAAAAAAAGGAAGGTTGTACACTGCCTTTTTTTGAGCCCCGAAAGAAAATTGTCTCAGATCGATCCGGAAAATAAAGTTTCTTATAGAATGTGGCCTGTAGAATCCATAATTTCAAACAGTTCCAAGTTTGGGCTAGTAGTTCAAAAGTTACAGCCCTTTGAATTTTTTTTCGAAATTGGTTTCTAGTCTATAACCTTTTATTGAGAAGTCTAATCGAAAAAGTACGAATGGTTTTGGATTCTACACACCAAAATTAATAAGAAAAAGTGTTTTTTTGGTGCAGTCGATTTTTGGTAAAAAAAGAAGGTTGTACCTACACTGCCTTTTTTTGAGCCCCGAAAGAAAAATTGTCTCAGACCGATCCGGAAAATAATTTTTCTTATTGAATGTGGCCTGTAGAATCCATAATTTCAAACACTTCCAAGTTTGGGCTAGTAGTTCAAAAGTTACAGCCCTTTGAATTTTTTTTCGAAATTGGTTTCTAGTCTATAACCTTTGATTGAGAAGTCTAATCGAAAAAGTACGAATGGTTTTGGATTCTATGCACCAAAATTAATAAGAAAAAGTGTTTTTTTGGTGCAGTCGATTTTTGGTAAAAAAAGGAAGGTTGTACACTGCCTTTTTTTTAGCCTCGAAAGAAAAATTGTCTCAGACCGATCGGGAAAATAATTTTTCTTATAGAATGTGGCCTGTAGAATCCATAATTTCAAACAGTTCCAAGTTTGGGCTAGTAGTTCAAAAGTTACAGCCCTTTGAATTTTTTTTTCGAAATTGGTTTCTAGTCTATAACTTTTGATTGAGAAGTCTAATCGAAAAAGTACGAATGGTTTTGGATTCTATGCACCAAAATTAATAAGAAAAAGTGTTTTTTTGGTGCAGTCGATTTTTGGTAAAAAAAGGAAGGTTGTACACTGCCTTTTTTTGAGCCTCGAAAGAAAAATTGTCTCAGACCGATCGGGAAAATAATTTTTCTTATAGAATGTGGCCTGTAGAATCCATAATTTCAAACAGTTCCAAGTTTGGGCTAGTAGTTCAAAAGTTACAGCCCTTTGAATTTTTTTTTCGAAATTGGTTTCTAGTCTATAACTTTTGATTGAGAAGTCTAATCGAAAAAGTACGAATGGTTTTGGATTCTATGCACCAAAATTAATAAGAAAAAGTGTTTTTTTGGTGCAGTCGATTTTTGGTAAAAAAAGGAAGGTTGTACACTGCCTTTTTTTGAGCCTCGAAAGAAAAATTGTCTCAGACCGATCGGGAAAATAATTTTTCTTATAGAATGTGGCCTGTAGAATCCATAATTTCAAACAGTTCCAAGTTTGCGCTAGTAGTTCAAAAGTTACAGCCCTTTGAATTTTTTTTTCGAAATTGGTTTCTAGTCTATAACCTTTGATTGAGAAGTCTAATCGAAAAAGTACGAATGGTTTTGGATTCTATGCACCAAAATTAATAAGAAAAAGTGTTTTTTTGGTGCAGTCGATTTTTGGTAAAAAAAGGAAGGTTGTACACTGCCTTTTTTTGAGCCCCGAAAGAAAAATTGTCTCAGACCGATCGGGAAAATAATTTTTCTTATAGAATGTGGCCTGTAGAATCCATAATTTCAAACAGTTCCAAGATTGGGCTACTAGTTCAAAAGTTACAGCCCTTTGAATTTTCTTTCGAAATTGGTTTTCTAGTCTATAACTTGTGATTGAGAAGTCTAATCAAAAAAGTACGAATTGTTTTGGATTCTACGCACCAAAATTAATAAGAAAAAGTGTTTTCCCGAGAAATTTTGGTGCAGTCGATTTTTGGCAAAAAAGGAAGGTTGTAACACTGCCTTTTTTTTTGAGGCCCCAAAAAAAATTGTCTCAGAACGACCGGAAAAAAACTTTTTCTTATAGAATGTGGCCTGTAGAATCCATAATTTAAAACAGTTTGAAGATTGGGCTACTAGTTCAAAAGTTACAGCCCTTTGAATTTTCTTTCGAAATTGGTTTCTAGTCTATAACTTTTGATTGAAAAGTCTGATCGAAAAAGTACGAATTGTTTATTCTACGCTCCAAAATTAATAAGAAAAAGTGTTTTCCCGAGAAATTTTGGTGCAGTCTATTTTTGGTTAAAAAGGAAGGTTGTACACTGCCTTTTTTTGAGGCCCCGAAGAAAAAATTGTCTCAGATCGACCCGGAAAAAAATTTTCTTACAGAATGTGGCCTGTAGAATCCATAATTGCAAACAGTTCCAAGATTGAGCTACTAGTTCAAAAGTTACAGCCCTTTGAATTTTTTTCTGGTCTATAACTTTTGATTGAGAAGTCTGATCGAAAAAGTACAAATTGATTTGGATTCTACGCACCCAAATTAATAAGAAAAAGTGTTTTCCCGAGAAATTTTGTGTAGTCGATTTTTGGTAAAAAAGGAAGGTTATACACTGCCTTTTTTTGAGCCCCGAAAAAAAAATTGTCTCACATCGACCCGGAAAAAAAATTTTCTTATAGAATGTCGCCTGTAGAATCCAAAATTTCAAACAATTCCAAGATTGGGCTACTAGTTCAAAAGTTACAGCCCTTTGAATTTTTTTTCGAAATTGGTTTCTAGTCTATAACTTTTGATTGAGAAGTCTGATCGTAAAAGTACGAATTGTTTTGGATTCTACGCACCAAAATTAATAAGAAAAAGTGTTTTCCCGAGAAATTTTGGTGCAGTTAATTTTGGGTAAAAAAGGAAGGTTATACACTGCTTTTTTTTGAGCCCCGAAAGAAAAATTGTCTCAGATCGACCCGTAAAAAAAATTTTTTCTTATAGAATGTGGCCTGTAGAATCCATAATTTCAAACAGTTCCAAGATTGGGCTACTAGTTCAAAAGTTACAGCCCTTTAAATTTTTTTTCGAAATTGGTTTCTAGTCTATAACTTTTGATTGAGAAGTCTGATCGAAAAAGTACGAATTGATTTGGATTCTACGCACCCAAATTAATAAGATAAAGTGTTTTCCCGAGAAATTTTGGTGTAGACGATTTTTTGTAAAAAAGGAAGGTTATACACTGCCTTTTTTTGAGCCCCGAGAAAAAAATTGTCTCAGATCGACCCGGAAAAAAAATTTCTTATAGAATGTGGCCTGTAGAATCCATAATGCTATGCTTTTTGCCGGAGAATGTATAATGTTCTCCGAAATTGTCTATTTGTGAATGTGGTATTGGTATTACAAAGAATGTGATCACTTGATTCATTCATTTTTCTATGCCATTTGTCATGCATGTCATACATAAACCCGAGCTGTATTTTATAATAGATCATTATGTTAATTGGAGAATACCTCAATAGTAGTTTCTATAAGTTGGCGAAATCTTGTAGTATTCAAAAAATTAACATAAATTGGTACCAATAATTTGCTTTGCAAGTATATGCCTATGCCAACAACAATAAAATGTTAAATGAGATATGTGACCTGCAATTAATAGCATGCGATGTAATTTAGGTACAACTGCTGATTATGATGATTTTGCAGGTCCAGATTTTCCACCGACTCCGAACAAAAAATCTGATGCCAACCGCTACGAACAGAATTTAAACTTACCGTCTGTTACACTGTATTTTTTCTTTATGTTGTTTCAATAAAGTTTGAATGTGGTGTATAGTATATGTACTATCTAAGCAAAATAAGGAATAACAAATTGTATTTCCTAGATCACTTCATTGAAAGTTTAGAAAAATCATTAAAAAAAGATTTCACATTGTTTAAATTTAATTTTTGTATATATACATCTAGATAATTAAGCGAAATATTTAAACTTGTGTAACGGAGAAAACAATCACTATAACAAATAAATTTCGTTCAACTGTTTTTCCGCCGGGAGACTGCCTAGGATACATGCGCTATTTTCGCATTGGATAGCCAGGGATATTCTTTGGAATAAAAATTGCGCGATAAGATTGTCGGTATTTCTTGAATTCTTCTCAGACCGAGAAACAGAAAACTTGAAGAGAAAAGAAGATAGATCTTCAGCTCGTTCTAAACTATCCTCTGACTCCAGTTTCGTTGTCTCTATGCAACATTGATGGATCGATGATTAAAATCGACAAGTTTGTTTTGCTGAAACTTTTTCGAAAGTATGATTTCTTCAAGTGCTCCCAGTCCATCGTCAGTTGTAGATGTTGTTTTAATCGATGGATTATTTTTTTTGCATCTTTTAAAAGATCTCCGGTAAACCTTTGAGCAATTTTCTGAACACATCCTCGGCAAGATTTGTGCTGTCAGCGAGAGAAGTACATCTTACTTTTGACAGATAGTTGCCCCTTCCATGAAGGACGCAGAACATGATCGTTGGGATCAAAATAAGGAAAGATTACAATCCTACTCAATTTATGTTTCCACTCAGAAGCAGCCTGGAAATTTCATAAAACCACTTCGCAATGATAGCTCAAAGCCTCTCTTATAGATTACTTATACCGTTCATAGGCAAAAAAGACCTGTTGTTGTTGGAAGGAAAGTTGTGTTTGCCACATATGAAGATAAGTGCTATAAATTTGTGACAAGGGAAGATGATGTGGTAAAAACTGAATTGTGCTGCAGCCACTAAGAGGTAGATTCTCGAATAATTTACCATCTTGGTAATCTACCAACAAGTAGCAAAGTCATACTAGCGCTTCCGATATGGATATTGCTTTGGGAAATGTAAAATTGACGCTACCATCAAGGTATAGATGGAAGTAGGTCTGTTTTCCAATAACACACAGAAATTCATAAATCTTCGAGAGATGTTCGTGAATTTGGGTGTTGATGTGTGTAACGCGCAGGGTAACCCGTTACCGGGTTCCCACGCATTTACCAGATGTATGACTTGTGTATGGTCCTCATCGTTTAGTTCATCGCAATTTGGGCGAATGCCACCGAAAAATGTCTGAGTTTCTACAATCCGTTTGATTGAAGTGGATGGAACTATGTGAATCAGAAGTTTAGAATCAAATGGTTTGAAAGATCTCAGTAGTCAGTATCCTATCGCTATCTCTGTTGGTTATGCTCTCGCGCGCTTATCTCTCACACGCTCGCACTCGCTGGGATTTACTATACCTAAATGTTTTAACTTCTAAGACGTCTGCCACTATTAAAGCTTATGTCGCTTATGGTTTAGTTACTATGTACGCTGCCTCCCGGTCTATATAGAGAATTGTATGAAAATTGGGGGAAATACGCTTATTCCCAATATTTTTATTCACGGACGGGAATTTGTTGCACCTCTTTGTAAAGCCTCCTTGCTCATTGGCTTTAGGGTATAGGTATCCGCGAAAGTACAGTCTATCATTATTTCTCCTAAAAACGGTAGAGAAGCTGGTGGATGCACACATATAAGGAATTTTTGCAGCCTCGTGTGCCAGTTGGAGAGGGGAACGTTTGTTTGGAGGAAAGGGAGGGGGCTGAGCGCATTTCTAGATATCAAAGGTGTGTTAAACCACAATCAATTACATTAGTGAGGTCGCTGAAGCATTAGGATTGATGGATTATTCAATAGCGGATACGCGTCATGCTTGGAAGCACTGCCCTTATATCTTCAATCGGGAGAATGGAGCAAACGATCTAGCGAACGTCATAACTAGAAAGTTTCAAAACACTGTGAAAGTGGCGAAGTAACCATAGCCTTTCCACTAACCCAGATAAGACCGAGGTTGTTCCATTCACTATAACATAAAGGGGCTTGCTTTTCAAGTGAAATATTTGAGAGTCATTATAGACTCCCCCCCTGACAAGAGCACATTGATCAAATATTCAAATAAGCCAAAAGGCAAGTGACCCTCCATAGACGTTACCGTAATAATCATATACAGTGCTATTCATTTAGAAGTAGACATAATCTCTTCTGAAGGGCGCCTAATTTTATGCAACCAAAATAACTTCTAAAAACAAAGATCTGGCTGTCACATTTAACTAATTTGAATATTGTTGCTTTGGGTTCGGTATTTTTATTTTCATTCGTGTGCGATGTATTCAACTGAAGAAGAAGTTGATATTGCCAAGTGGTATAGTGCCGGAAACAGTTTAAGAGCGTAAAAGATTTAGTGTCTGTTAACCCAAAACAACCATATTCCAACTAATTTATTATTATGACAGCCAGACGTTTATTTGTTTTTAAAAGTTATTTTAGATGCATAAAATTAGGCGCTCTTCAGAAGAGATTTTATCTGTTAAAAGTAGACATAGGGAAAAACACACGTACATCCCTATGCCTACTTCTTAATAAATATCACTGTATATACATATTATGCAGTGACAGTCAGGCGATGCTGAGGGCCCTGTCTGCCGATAGGTTCCAATCAGCCATGGCGCTCGATTGCATGCGAACTACTCTACATAGATTAGGTGTATAATGGCCGTTTGCACCGAGAAATAAAACTTAGCTTAAACATATCCATGGCAACCATTGTCGCAATAATCATTGCCATGGATTTTAAGCTAAGCAAATGCAAACGCCATAATAGACTTGATCTGAGTGGCAGTGCACTGTGGAATAGGGGGAAACAGAAGGGTGGACGATTTTGCTTGCGGGGTAGTGGTGGAGGAAGGGGGGGGGGATGTCATTGTCTGGTCCGAACCTACGAGGAATGTAGTAAATGAATTAATTTATTTAGGCAAAGTTTAAATATTAACAATAATACATATTACTTTAAAATGAAGCGAACTACTTAACATAAGATCTACCAGATTGTAATTAATCAAACATGATCTTGTATAGGCATAAAGTTAATACTGTGACTACACTTTAATACACTAGCGCCAGCATCTACAAAGCTTACACAATTGTTTGCATTTCGCTAAATAACAACTATATTTGGTAAAATTGTAACACTATACAAAACAAAATTATATCCTCCCTTTCGACTTTGACCTTAATGACTAAGTAAACTTTCCCTGTCTGGCAATAATCGTACCTTCATGCTCCCGTCAGCTCCGCATGAGAATAAACGTGCACAAGAGTCTATGTGCAGTTGAGTAACGCCTTGGCCAATATTTTTGAAAAAACTGCTACGAGCGTGCTCTGCGGGTAACGTCAATAATACTGTTGGAACAGTTACGCCCCAAATCTGTTCGTGTTAAACGTATAAACGACGAGAAGTTCCGAACAAAGACTTACCTTAATGTCTCCGTCCGCAGATCCAGTCGCAAAATACTCCTCATGTGGATCAATTGCGACACACTTAACCGCACTTTCGTGTGCCTGAAACCGATGACGTATTGTTTTCGACCGAACATCGATTAGACAAATATCGCCCTTCTTCCCTGTAGAAACTAGGAGTTGGTGTTGGGGGGCGTAAACGAGACTACTGGCGCCTTGCTCGTGGCAGGTGAATGCGACTACCATAGATTTGCCATGTGGTAGTATAGAATCCCATATACATACATTTTTACTTTCAGAACTGTGACCGGCTATCAAAATAGTGTATTGAAACAGAGAGAACTTAAACAGATGTCTTACCTGTGGCCAACAAACTACACGAGCCCAGAAATACAAAGTCGCTTATTCCTTTATTATGGCACTGGTGTGTCTAATCAAAATTAAAGCGTTGTTAGTCTAGGACGTTAACGGGAAATTGTGTCTGGGTGCATTTACAACTAATTAGGAACAAATACTTACAAAAAATGGACGCGTTGCGTTAGCAGAAAGTCCAACTTGCCACAAACTCAGGTTGCCATCGGAATCTCCAACTCCAAACTTGTTGCCGTGCTGCGAAAACCGTACTCTCGTCACTTTGGCATATGTTCCCGGAGGTCTCGGTGTAGCAACCGGTTGGGAATGGTTCCATTCCCACAACTGCACGGAGCCATCTTGGCCACCAGTTAAATCTGAAATAGTACGTCGGAAGGGGACGGTCTTTACCTTTGATAATTACTCTTACACAATGGCAACAATGGATGCGAGCATATTCGTCGTATACCATCGACTCGATGTTTCAGAACCTAACGAAATAAACAAAATTTTATATGCGAGGAACTGTGTAAAATGTCATACTTATAGAGTACTTCTTGCTTAAAATATAACATAAGACAATGATATTAAGCAACCAACATAAAAGCAGACTACTACTACACTATGGTCAAATAGATACCTACTAGATTCTTCTACAAAATATAAACGACAGGCAAGAAGTTCTAACTGTTAATATATGAAATGAAAATTATGCAGGTTAACATTAACAAGCACTACAGACAGCAGTGTTAGAGACGAACCGGCCGAAGCATGTGTGCCGATCTCAGCAGCACAAGGCGGACAAAGTTCGGATCATGACATCCAGGAAAACTTAACCCCTTCATCTACAGACACATTCATACAATTTCAATTTTTGCGCAGAAATTTCAAAAAAAAAGGAACATAAGCATACTTTACCCACACGACGTGTAACGATACTATGAGTAGGTAGGTACATAATGTGTATATCAATTATCAGTTAAATGTATTCCAGGTTTGGTTGTCTGTAAGGGATTTCTGTTGTAACTGTAGCTTCGTAAAGTGCCATTTTTTAATAGTGAGCATTGTTAGAATAGAAATCCTTTAATATCAAGGGCAAAGTGCATAAGAACAGCATCAGTTGTACAATCACTGTGAAATTGCAATAGACTAGAAACCAATTTCAAAAGAAAATTCAAAGGGCTGTAACTTTTGAACTAGTAGCCCAATCTTGGAACTGTTTGAAATTATGGATTCTACAGGCCACGTTCCATAAGAAAAATTTTTTTCCGAGTCGATCTGAGACAATTTTTTGTTCGGGGCAAAAAAAAGGCATTTTCTATTTGGCGCCCAACGTGGGGCCACAACAATATATCTAATTACAAATTATTTGAATCTCCTGGTGAAGACTTTTGAAAGAAATTCATCAATGACTCAGTATCATGAGCAGACTGGTTCACTTGCGTCAATTGAATTTCTTATTCTTATGCACTTTGCCCAATAACAACACATGATTTCAAATTAGAGAACCAAAACGAAATGAGTTCACCAATAGAAATGAACCTATGAATATCAACTTACCACTGTGGTGCCACGCCCGCTTTGACTGGCAATTCCAGATGGTGGACTTCCGGGCTGTTGATCTTTCGTCTTATCGCCCGCGCTGTGAATGACTAAGAAGGGCGGAACCGTTACCTCCGTCGAGTCCTGTTTCAAATTCAATATGTCCAATTCACACTCGTCTTCTAACCAAGCAGGTAGTTCTAACAGCAACGAGATGTCCATTTCTTGTAATTCGCGAGGAGTTGCAATCACAATTAACCCATTGTTAACCTAAAACAATTTTTTAAATTTGTCCACAAGACCAAGGGTACCTGGTTAAGGCTGAATGCGGCTATTGAATCTTGCTCTTTATGTATAATTCGCACAGGTTCAACGGCCGGCGGCTCGGGATGCTGGGAAACTAGTTCGTCAATTGCGCAAACGGACTTGCGCTTCCCAAATACAGCCCTAATGAAAATGTCTTGGACAGAATCTTGGTGGACCAAGAATGTCCACAACCGACGGACAGCGCTCGCGACACTTTTGTTTATGAACGGAGTGTTGTGAGGCTCAAGCAGTTGCCTGAAACAAACTGTAGAACTTGGAACGGGACTAAATAGTACACACCTATACTTCTGTAACGGTGGCCCACTTGTACTCTCAACAAAACAACCAGGTATGTACTCCACAGGGGACTGCCGTTTATCGAGTTCTTTCTTCAAACTATCCTGCCATTTCATTAGACGTCGCAAACTGCTGTGAATTAGTGGGCTGGCCACAGGCAATTCGGACACTTCTAAACCTGCCACCTGAATCATAGTGTTCTAACCGACTGCGTGCAAGACTTGGAAACTTACAGCGAGGAATTCTTTAATCCGTGTCTCAACGATACGCAATATAGCAAATTTCAATACGACCCAAGAATACGAATTGGGGTCCGAATGTTCGGTATTATTAGTGACTGTAGCCGGTGGAGCATCAAATACGTCCTCTTCCTCACTTTCGGAATCACTCGAAACATCATCGCAGTTGGGGCCCGCATCAGGCTACAAATTTTTCGATTAAAAGCCGTGCTTCGCACACGCTACCGTACCTTTGTAAGTAAGTAGGCTAAGATACTCATTTCAGGAGGTACAAATTGCTCGCGATAGGTGGCCTTATCTTCTTTCATTGTTGCGGGTTGCTGCCCCAGCAACTTGCAGTTCAGTTTCACCCGTTGCTTATTTAGCCACACGGCGGGTCCACTTCCTTCGTCCGTTGGAGTGTTCACAATGCTTTGATTGTTTGACGAATTTGTGACACTTGCAGTACGTAGGAGTTTTTTGGTGCCTCCGCCAAATAACCTACAACGAGCCCTAGTTAGAGGTTCCCTACGAAACCGGCCCTTACTGTCCCCAAGTTTCCTGTGTGAAGGTATGCCCAGTCACGTGGAACAGAATGACACAGTCCAAAGTACACAAACCGTAGAGTAAAAGAGAAAGGTAAGTTGCTGTAAAGGCTTCGCATAAGACGACCGTTAATCTCGGGGTATCCTCGTCCTTTTCGCGCGCTAACAGCGCCCTCAGACTAGTCACGCCTGGCCATTTCGAAGGCAAGGTGTGAATTTGCTGTCTTTCGTTTATCGAACCTCGCCTTCTTCTCCCCACCAAATGTGTCACACACTGATCCTAAAAAAACCATGATTATTATCAATCCCGCCGCTCAAACTCACGACGGCGATGGCGGCTACTAATAAATCAAACCCCCCCCCTCCCCCCCTGACTTCATGCTCTCTCATCCTTCATTTGGCTAGAGAAAATTCAAAGTATTGTACCTGGTTATCCTGTAGAGTGCTTTTGAACGTATCAGAATCACACAAAGATTGATAAATGCATGCCGAAAGTGCGACAGCAAGATCGCGCAATACCAACAGTTGATTCTGCGAGGTGCTCGGTTGAGTCAAGTCGACAATCTGACAAAAAGACAATTCAGTAATGCACAGATGGCGCTGAGACCACTCACAGTGTGTAGCATGTCATGCGTAAGACTTTGTAAGTAGCGGACGGGATCTGCAATGACAGTTTTGCTACTAGCAACACTAGCAGCAAGTAAGGGAAGACTGGTGGGGAACGGTAGGGGGCTTAAAAGCTGCTGTTGAGTTTTTTCTTGCTGCAACTCTTGTAATAGTAGAACGAGCTCCATGCGTACTGACGCCAGTCCACCCGCGGCACCATGTAGAGAACAGTAACTGAGGAACGTACGGAGTAGAGTCTCATTAACTCTAAGCCAGCGCTTTCTGTTGGCGGCGCGTAAAACTTTAGCTTCGAAATCCAGTTTTTCTTGTATAAGAATCTCATGCAAAGTTGGCCTCGCAATGTTACTATCTCCTAATTCACTATCTGCGGTCAATTCTAAATCGGATTCCTCACTATGATCAGAAGCGGTGTAATTGCAAAGTTGACGTAAAGCTTCAACCTCCTTTTCTAACCAAATGTAAAGCTGGTAACGTAACTGCCCACCTACGCATGGAAAAAGATGTAAACGACAGTAACGTGACATACTTCAGCTACACCTAAAGTTAGTGTTCACAAGTAAAAATCAAAGGCAAGTTTAATTCGGGCGACAAATGCACACAAAAAGCTTACTGTTGAATGGGTACGGTTTACGCCTTTTATTAAAACACTTAAACTCTGAAACATTCCGAATTCGTAATTGAGAATGCTGAAAACCCAAGTGGAAATACGTAAACATACCATCAACCTCAAATCCAGTTGCTAACGTCGACAATTCCTCCATTAATATTTTCAAGCATGCCACGAATTTCAACTGCTGAGCCATTATATCAATTTGATCTGCTGACTCGATTCCGTCACCTTCTGTGGCCGGCTCGGGAGGTTCTTCGTTAATTTTCATTTTTAGCCCGTCGTCTGAATCCTCATCCTCTTTCTCATCATCAGACCACTTGAGTTCGAAGTCGTCGGTTTTCACTTTATAATCGGAAACAGCGCCCCAATCGAAATCCGCTGTATTTTCACTCAATTGCGGCTGAATAATTCCCGTATTTATTTGAGACTCAGATTTTGGACCCTTTGGAGTAGCAACTAAAAAGTTAGGGTAGTACAAGGTCAATTGATTTTCATTTTGAAGACACAAAAACTATTCTGAAGGATCTGATTAGTGCTAGTATTGATTTGCTTGAACGCTGTAAGTACATAAGAAAAATACTTGGATGTGGGCAAGTTCAAGGTAGCCTCATCCATTCTGAAAGAAGCATTCCCTGGGACTACTATGAATTTAACCAAACCCAAAAATGAGAACAAACACACAATAGTTAAAACGTTAAAATTACTCATCAAACAAACCTTTCTCAATGGGCGTGGCTACCGTATACCTAGCCATCCAAAACCTTTAGCATAATTTTTGTTGTACAAGTTTAAAATAAAATATGTTACCGGGTGACATATTTTTGGTACGGTCCGTAACGGCAAATGGTAACTTTGACAAAACCTCCAGAGCTAATGCTGGACATCCAGCTCGGAAATGTCCATGCGCGGTGGTAAAATACAACTGACGCTCTAGAGGAGTAATAGTATCCTCAATCATCACCTACACACAATAAATTGAATACATTGTTGCAACGGTATCGTTTGCCTACTTGTTTTCTCCCAGACATCCAAAATTTGCGTTGCCCGGAGCTAGCAATGTGCTGACGAACGAGTAAGGGATGAGTTCTCAGGTAGACATAAAAATTAAACACGTTAGGATCCGCTTGGGTGGTCTCGCGCGAGTCGTCCTCGTGAGCGGCATGCTGTGAACCAGCGTTACCAACTAAAAGTGTGCTTAATGCCGGCTGATGCTCTTTCAGTGTCCATAACGCCATCGAACGCAGGAAAGGATCCGGGTGCGCTTGCGAAATATCTTGATTCTCACCTTTAAACAACCCCACTAAATACTAAACAACCAACCCATGACTTACCATCCGCATCACAGCCTAAAATTTGTTCAAAAAGTAAACGCTTTAAACTTGGACCGTCACCTTCATACAACCGTACTATAATAATTGCTAATTGAAGATCGTGTAACTTATTCAACAACACCTACAACAAAATTATAGTACGCGTGGCAACACAAATGCACCTACTTCAATGGCATCATTTAAATTTCCCGCTAGCAAAAAGAAGGCAGCGGCATGATCAAACCTTTGTTTGCCCAATAACGCATACGCGTTTTTCAAGGCCGCCTTCCTCCATCGGTCGATTGTAAAATCGTTGGAAAAAAATTGGGTCATCTTTTGATCACTTTTCGATCGGTATAACCCCCACAGTAAACTTTTTTTGTTCATGGCGATGTAGTACAAAGCGGCATCTAGCGGATCCTGCTTAACCTTGTACGACGCTTTGGCCAGCACTTGTACACACTGACGAAGAAGATGCAGACCCCGAATCCACCATCCCACGCCCAGCTCCCGTAGATGAAACCAGGTCGGCTCGCCCTTAGCGTAACTCGGGATCAAATTTAATAACTCCTCTTGGGTTTCCGAATGATAAGCCCAGGCCAAATTTGTGGTTCCCACCCCTTGTTTTTGAAATTGGGCGCGTTGTGCCAGTGGAAGACAGCTAAATATGTTACAATTAGCGAAGATCATATTTCGTTGGGGCAATTACCGCAGTAGATAGCCGTAATGTTTCATAGCTAAGAGGAAACGGAGTCCGCAATCATCCAAAGAGTCGACGATTACCTCATCCGACTGACCAATAACGTTCTCTTTTGCCATCGCCGATTTTGCGGCGTCAATGGCGAACCGTTCCGCTAGATCGGTATTGCAGGTGGCGACTGTATCGGCCAGTGCCAACAAATGCATTTGATCTAAACTGGACAATCCGGGTAAGTGAGTGTGAGTGAGCATGCGAGATAACATGCGCCCTAGGGGAGAATTTGAAAATTAAGCTCGTTACATTCCCATGCAAACCTTGTCGCGGTGTGAAGTGCGCAAAACCGGTCGCTCGTTCACTCGGCCTCCTGTCATGTCGTGGAATATCTTGATCCTCAAGTAATGTATCTAATGACTCTTCCATAATTGTGTTGTTATCAAACAGTTCATTGTAGTCTTTCTTCTCTTCCTTAATTGCTAGAATAATTTATTTGAAATATGTACATATTTGCATTATGGTTAGCATGTTATAGCTCATAAAGGTTTTGCCCTGTTATTGGTCTTATACTGTTGGGTAAATATATGTTATTATTATTATTATTATATCAACAAATAGTTCAATGTCTGTTTTCACAGTGCTACTTTGACTATTCGGTGCAAAGAAATACCACATTCACAGTTGCAGAGTCTGAATCTGATTCTTTTTGTTCTAACTTATTGCTTTACAAAAAAATTAAGGTGTGGCCTGGCTAACTTGCAAAAGGGGGTATTAACAAACAATTCCAAATACCTGTTTCAGAATTATGTTTACCTATACCTACTTTATAAAACCTTTAAGCTAGGAAAGGTAAGGATCTATCTAGTTATGGATAAACAATGAAAGTTTATATAAGAGGCTAATATAGAATTGATACGTGATCACGTTGTTTTTTTATGAACCAAACTACCATTTTAAATCAAGGAAAACGTAAGAAAAATGGAATTGTGATCAATTAAACCAGGTTTAAACGTTCAGATTTAAAGAGGAGGTAAAACCATTGAGTAATTAAATACGAGAAGAGACGCAACCATATGACGCTTTATGTCGCCACCGCGTCCCGTGGTGATCTAGGCGGCGTAACCTGAACATCCCGTCGAGTTTTCCAATACAAGGCTGGAACTGCAACGGCGAGGTTGGTTGCAATTAGTAATGTAACAGCGACTCGAGTTAAAATGGGCGGCGATTCTTGCGCTTATATCAATTGCAATTCAAACTCGAAAAGCAAACCAAAACTGACATTGTTTAAGTTCCCTGCTGATACAGACAGAATTAGCGAGTGGGTGAAGAATTCGGGAAATATTAAATTAGTTTTAAATAGCAACTTTAAGTATAAGTTTATATGTGAGAAGCATTTTAATGAACGCGACTTTTATGTCAGTGGCAAAAGAAAACTCTTACGTAAAGGTGCAATCCCAGTAAAATATGAAATGGGTAAATTACGTTAATTATTTTGATCGGTCAAGCCTTGTAATGCAAAATTCAGCTGATAAATTAAATTAATGCAATCAATATATTGCAAGGAAAAGTTAAAATAATCGATAGTATTTTCATTATTCAGTGGCAGTGTCTGTTCTCGTCATGTAAATACGGTTACTTCTATTGTAGAATAAATTATTCATTTTGCTTTTCATAGTATTAATTAAAAATTAAGCTATCAGCCGCTGGCGAAAATAAAGCGAAATTAAAAGAACATAAAAAATCACAGTTAATTCAAAAAATTAGAACGGGCTCTGCACATCACACTACTCCCCATTCTCAATATTAATTATTCTGATTCTCTTAAAGGAAGACAATACATCCAGTTATGGCGTGAGAAACCGTCCGATAGGCTCCCCAAACATGTACACTTTTGCAAAAAAGTATAAGTTAGCCCTTTCTAACCCTCCCAGTCCTACGCCATCGCATGTATCTGTGGTTAGCGATAGAATTTTACACATGCAATCCCTGGATTCGATAGGTAATAGAAACAGGGAAAGTGAAGAAGTTATCTGTTAAAGTTTACGAACTTAGGAAAAAATTAAAGGCAAAACAAGTTTCAGCACTTCGATTGAAGAAAAAAGCATCAGTCTCGTCGTTTGGTTTGATAGAAAAGCTGTTAAAAAACAAAAGTAATGCTGTTAAGACTTTTACAAAAATGCAAATATTTCACCACCAGCGAAGACCCTGGACCAAAGCAGAGAAAGATCTAGCATTATCGTTTTATTACAAATCGCCATCTCTATATAAGTTTATGCTTAAGAATTTACGATTTACTCTTCCTTCCTATCGAACTATACAAAAATGGAATAGTGTTTTTAAATTAAAAACTGGGTAAGAACTTAA